TGCCTACTGCATGGCCCCCCTGGGGCATGCAACCTGATGGGTAATCCAATGGCGATCTCCTGGATCATAGGTCATGCTCAACCACTTAGCCACATTGGCCAGGCTGTTTTGTTTTTGAAGTACCTAGTGGTTAGTTGTTAAAGTATGGCAAGAATTTTCTAGATTTGCATATCAACAGGAACAGCAATATTAATTAATTTTTATAGAATGTTTACTATATGCAGATTCTGTATTAGAAGCTGGGAATATGGGAAGCAAATAAAAATAAAAGAGTCTTATTTGCTAACAACAACCTGTGAAGTAGCTATAAACAAAGAAACAAGTTCGTAGAGTTTAAATAATTTGTCCAATGTTGCATAGCTAGTAAGAGAATTATAGTGCTATATTTGTTCCAGCAGCCTAACCTATATCCAGGTTAAGAGACTAAAATATAATGGTTTAAGCAAACTAGAAGGAGCTCCCTGACAAAGTGGAGCTGTCATATCAGCTACAACCTGCATATGGTTAGACTGTTGGGTAAAGGAGAAAGAAACTTCCATCTTACTACTCTGCTATCCCTAGGTGTTGGCCTCATTCATATGTCCGGAGACACATAAGCATTCTCTTTAAAGGCATTCCCTAGATGTTGGACTCCTAACTTATACTCACATCCTGCAGGCCATGCTAGCCGCCAGGCCTGAAATTATACTCTTTGTGGCCATGTACTTCTCAAAATCCAAGGGTTCTATTAATAAAAGAAAAGGGGAAATAGGGACAGTTGGCAATCTCCGCATCACATGCTAATTAAGAGCATTGTTTCAAAGTGAAGTTTTGGCCACAGACTCGGATAAGTGACAGATGATCTTATGACTTTGGGATATCCTGCATTCATTATTTCTTTCTTTCCAAGGTTACGTACATATGTATATAGTGTGTGTATTGATATATTTAAATATTCAAAATATGTGTGCTATCAAGATTATTACATGATTCTAAGTGGACTCTGGTCATCTGCAAGTGCTAAATTCAAAATTTCACGATGGAAGAAGCCCACTGGCTTTAATCTTTGGCAGGAAGGCTTGCAAATCCCCCAGGATTTGTCTTGCTTACATTTTCACTCTGAAAAAGATCTCAGACTCAAAGATCTATGCTGTAAGAGGTGTGTTCTTTGTAGAAATAAAATTACTCTAAGGTTTTAGTGAGGCATGTATTCAATACATCAATCATAAACAACTCTGACCCAGAACTTCAAAGTTTCCTAGAATTCTTGGTCTATTCTAATAATGTTTAGACATTTACTATAGAAAAATCAATTCACAAGTATTTATTGAGAATACGCTTAGATAGCAGTTATATTGAGATGGACCCACAGATTCCTACTCAGGTATCTCCTGGGGCTACAGGTACTTGGAGGGGATAAGCACAGGATAGACCTCAAGTGCATACACATATATTCTTATTTGTTTTCTGGGGGGTGCCCTCTGCCCTCCCCCACCCTGAACCTAATGCTGTGTTGATGAGCTCAGCTCTCCTTTGTAGAGCTACTTGGAAATGTTGTGTCTTGCACAGAGAGGCCTTCTTGATCCCTTTGTCCAGCTCTTTAGATCCTAATTTGCTCGATGAGGTAGGAGAAAAGCAAAAGAGAAAGATAAAGGTTTAAGTTAGAGCTAGTCTAAATCAGTCTATCCTAGGCCTTATCTGGGGCGGGGAGCTGGTATTGGGGAGGATCTCCCAAGTGGGAGGCAGTTCCAGACCTGCTTTGCCTCATTGGCTATAGAAGCCAACATTCTAACCTTTTCTTTCATTGCACCAAACACCTTATCCCTTTTAAAAGGTTTAGTTGAGTCCAGTAACTGCCACTTTGATGGGGTGAGGTTGGGGAGTAGAGTAGGGGTCGAGAGAAGAAGGAAGTGGAACTGCTCTCCCACTAAAGGTCGATGTCAAGTACTTTGGAGGCACCACAGCATGCACAGGACGTGGCTTTTCTCCAAGTGCTCAGAGAACTAGCGGTCTGTCTGCAGAGCTAATGCATGTGAAAACATTTAGTGAAAACCAAGTACTTAAACTGTGTGATATTGATTACTCCAGAGGAATCCAGATAAGGGATAAGTCAATGTGGATTTGTTTCCTGGAGAATGCTTCTTAGATCAGGTCACAGATGAGGTGATTAAGAAAGCAGAGCTAATTAAGAAGGTGTGGTGGGGAGGGATGAACAAAGATTTGAGAGGAGCTGAGAGGCCAGTAGACCTTTGTGCCTGAAGCGGAGACTTCATGTTGGATACTTGGAAATGAGGTGGTATACTTCAAAAATCAGGCCGGGATGGACTAGAGGTAGTCATGTAAGATTTTTTTGGTAAACTAAATTAATGTTAATCTCTTTAATTTTTTATGGAATGAAGTGGGGGTGAATTTATAAATGAATGAAGAAGCAATAGATACTATAAAAACATTATAGTGTTAGAATTTGTCTGGGTTGGAAAGAGGGGGTTCCTATACAGTATCTCAGCAACCTAGGTTGCCAGGGAGCAGGAGGAAGCCAAGACTAGGTATATCAGGGATTGGGAGCCTGGCTGCACTAGAGTTGGCCAGCAGTCCAGTCCTTAGTGACCGAGAGGATGTGATGACCTTGAGAGTGGTTTAGGGAAAGTGTTGGATCTGAGGAGATCCAATTCAGGAGGTTTGGGCAACTAGCATGTAGATAGCAGGTGAGATTCAGAGTTAGGAATGATGGTGTCATGGTGGTGGACAACCTGATTCCAGCTGGATCCCAGCCAGCAGCTGGAGTCCTGGAATAGAATCTGAGGTGGGGTTGGTATCAGGGCCCCAGCCAAGTAGATTTAGGTTCGGGGCAAGGCACACGGCATTGTAGGAAATGGGAAAGCTAGTCAGGGCAGAAGCCCTTTCTGAAGATTGGCCAGTATGTCTGGAATTAGTAGGGAAATAGAGGGAGAAAAAATAATGGAGTGTGGAGCAAATTCAATGTATTTGTAGCCAAAAAAGGAATTCCAGTCACATTCTCTGGTGGGCTGAGGTTGCTTCTCTTTTGCCTGCCTGATGAGGGAGGGCTGAAGGTCATAGCTACTCTGAGCCTCTTAAGTGGACACTCCAGGGGCCCCAGCTCAGAGGGGTTCTGCAATGAATGGCGGGAGTGGAGGCCCAGTGGGAGAAGTGTCACTTGGAAGGAGTTGAGACTATAGCCGAGGAAACCTAGGCATAGCTAGAAGGCTGTCATATTCCAGGGTGGAGGGGCT